ATGCACCTGTGATTAATTCACGTTCCCATGTTTATAATTAAGGGCCAATCACAGGAGCAAGCTGGGGACAGAGTGCCTGGACACAACTTTGTTAGAGATTCTTTTCTTTTCTATTCTCAGCTTAGCAGCAGCCTCTGCAACACCTCTCTCTTTATTCTATTTAGTAGAGTTATAATGTATTATATATCATATATCAATAAATCCAGCCCTCTGATCAAGAAACAAGATTCTCGTCTTCCTCTCACCACCCCAGCGACCCACTCAGGTCGCTGTAATCCCCGTGATTCTGTGTTTTTGAACGCTAACACAGTGGGACACACAGAGACGGGCAGGGCGCTGGGGGGTCCCCGAGAGCCCCCCCCACGTACGTTCCACCTTCTCCTCGGCAGACAGGGCGCTCCAGGACGCCTTCTCCTTCTCCTTGAGCGCGCGCTGCTGCGCCGACAGCTCCCGCACAAACGCCACCTCGGGCAGCGGCACGTCCCGCCGGTCCATGTACACGGGCAGCGTGTAATCCTCGGCCTTCACCACGCCTGCGCGACACGGGGACACACGGGGACATGGGGACACACGGGGGGACAGGGGTGGACACAGGGATATGGGTGACATGCGCGGACACACACAGGGACACACACACACAGGGACACGGGGACACACACGGGGACACAGGTGACACACAGGGACATGGGTGACACATGGGGACATGGGGGACACACAGGGGGACACACAGGGGGACATGGGGACACACAGGGACATGGGGGACACACAGGGGGACACGCAGGGGGACATGGGGACACACAGGGAGACACAGGGACATGGGGACACAGACAGGGACACACATGGGTGACACCCACAGGGACATGGGGACACATGGGGACATGGGGGACACACAGGGGGACAGGGATGGACACAAGGATGGACACAGGGATATGGGTGACATGCGGGGACACACAGGGACATACAGGGACATAGGTGACACATAGGGACATGGGCAACACATGGGGAAACACACAGGGACAGATGCAGGGACACACACAGGGACATGGGTGACACACACAGGGGGACACAGGGATCAACACAGGGATGGACACAGGAACATGGGTGACACACACAGGGACATGGGTGACACACACAGGGACATGGGGACACCAACGGGGACACACACAGGGACACAGGTGACACACAGGGTCACACACGGGGACACAGGGATGGACACAGGGACATGGGTGACACAGGAACACACGGACACACACAGAGACACACAGGGGGGGCATGGGGGACACACAGGGGGACACACAGAGACACACACAGGGAAACACAAAGGGACACAGGGAAACACACAAGGACATGGGTGACACACAGGGACACAGGGATAGACACAGGGGGACAGGGACACAGGGACATGGGTCACAATCAGCCCAGACAGGTCCCCAGTCCCAGCCCAGCAGGGCACAAGCACAGCGGTGCAGGGAGGGGGTGGCAGGGCTCAGGGGCAACGCTGAACTTGAGAACTTTCGTGTTCCACCAGCACAAACAGGGGATTACAGACGGGTCTGGGATGGACTGGGAAGGGCCCTAAAGCCCATCCCATGGGCAGGGACAGCTCTCAGTGTCCCAGGGCTCCCTTGGGCACTGCCAGGGACCCTGGGGCACCTGAGGGAGCAAAGGAGGCTCAGGGGGCCCTGCTGGCTCTGCACAGCTCCTGCCAGGGACAGGAGCAGAGGGAACAGCTCAGGCTGGGCCAGGGCAGGCTCAGCTCGGACAGCAGCAGGAATTTGCCCATGGAAAGGGGGGTCAGGGGTGGGAACTGCCCAGGGAGGGCTGCAGTGCCCATCCCTGGAGGTGCCCCAGCAATTCCTGAGGTGGCACTCGGTGCTCTGGGTGGGGATGGGACACGGCTGGGACTCGGTGACCTTGCAGCTTTCTCCCACCTGGATGATGCCATGATTGTCACTCCTGCTACTCCCCAGGCTCCATCCCCACCCTCCCCTCACCCAGGGCAGATTTCTGTGCTCCCCCCTTTATCCCCCTGACCCACCGTGTCCATGTGCCCTGAGGCACAGGGAGGTGGAGATGGATCTCCTCCCGACCAGGCTGAACACTCTGGAAGCCAACATCCTGCAGGGCAGGCAGCAACAGTCAGTGCCCACGGTGACAGAAGAACATTTCCCACGAGTTTATATATGTATATATGAAATACAGCCCAGATTTCCTGCTCCTTCTCCAGAGGGCAGCACAGCACTCCATGCTGGAGAGGAGATTTTGCAGGATCTTCTCCCACTAAACCGATCTGGATGAGCCTTTCTCTCCCTGTTTTTAACCCCAGCCTCCTGCACTGGAAGCAAATGACATTGCCTTATTTAAACCACCATTCTAGGATTCTGTAATTCCAAAATAAACCATTCCTGGGGCGCCATGCACATCCCAGAGCCACTGCAGAGACCCCTGAGCAGGGAGCATCCCAGGGAAGGGCGGGATCCCCACAAGGGATTCGGGGTCCTCTGTTGACCCCAGCCCAGCCCAATGCCCTCCCAGCTCCCGCCAGGACCCGCTGTCTGTCCCTGACCTTGCCCTCCCCGCCTGTCACCTCAGTCGCGTCCCGGTGTCAGAACCCCTCACGGACCCGGCGGGCGGGGTCGCGCCGCTGCCCCCTCACAGCCCTCCCCGCACCCCCCAACCCGCGCAGCCCCGCCAGCCCGGCCGTGCATGGGGATGCCGGGGGGTCTCCGTTCTCGCTCCCTGCCCGCTCCCCGCCCGTCCCCGCGCTCCGCCCGGCCCGGCCCGGCCCCACGACCTGGCGACCGTCCTCTACGGCTGGCGAGACCGGAAGGAGCCGCGGGCGGAAGCGCGGGGCACGCCGGGAGCGCGGGGCAGCGAGAGAGCCGGGCTGGAGCGGCCGGCGCGGGGGATGATGGGATGCGGGCGGACCGCCGCTGGAGGTTTATCCAGGATTCCCAAAATCCCGGCATGTCTGAGGGTGGGTGTGAAAAACTTGCCAATCGCTTGGTTTTTTTTAAATTTAAAAGTTTAATAGTAATAAAATGGTTATAAAAATAGTAATACAATTAGAGTAATAATAATTTGGATAATTTGGATTAGGACAATATGAGACAATGGAAACAGAGTTACGGACGTCTGGGTACCTTTTTCTGGGCAGCATAAGCCTGGAAAAAAGAAACACGTTAACAAAGGATTAACCCTTAAAACCAATAGCCTGTTGCATATTCATACACTTCATACATGATGCATAAATTCTATTCAAACACAGGATTCTGTCTGGTCATCCTCAACTTCTTCCTTCAAATCCTAACAGCGCCTTCGAGGTGGGAAGAAGTTCAATTTTTCTGATAAGAGAGCAATAAATCCTTTTTCTCTGAAAGATTCAGGTGTCCTGTGGCTGCTATCTCGCTGTGAGTCCTTTCTTTAAAAAAAGTATCCTACATAGCATAGTTTCTATTTTAACATTTTTTTTATAACCTAAAACTACATTTAACACAGTACTTAAGAGAATTAATACAGCATTACTTTCTAACACAAGACATGTAATATTCATTTCAATATTTGCAAAAAGCCAATCATAAAATACATGCATTTTTTACATCCGGCATCACGGAGCCCAGCTGTGCCCCATCCCCACCTTGTCCCCACCCAGAGCACCGAGTGCCACCTCAGGAATTGCTGGGACACCTCCAGGGATGGGCACTGCAACCCTCCCTGGGCAGTTCCCACCCCTGACCCCCCTTTCCATGGGGAAATTCCTGCTGCTGTCCGAGCTGAGCCTGCCTTGGCCCAGCCTGAGCTGTTCCCTCTGCTCCTGTCCCTGTCCCTGTTCCCTGTCCCCTCCTGGCAGGAGCTGTGCAGAGCCAGGAGGGCCCCCCTGAGCCTCCTTTGCTCCAGGCTGAGCCCCCTCAGCTCCCTCAGGATTCTCCATTCCCTTCCCAGCTCTCTCAGGATTCTCCATTCATTTCCAGCTCCCTCAGGATTCCCCAGCCCCTTCCCAGCTCTCTCAGGATTCCCCAGCCCCTTCCCAGCTCCATTCCTTTCCCTGGAAATGCTCCAGACCCTCAATGTCCTGTGAGTAGCCCGGAATTTTGCACAGGATTCGAGGTTTGGAGCCTAGGATGGAAAAGCACCATGAGGGGGATCCGTGTGCCAGCTGGGGACAGACGTGGCCGAGGCATCACTGAAGTAATTTTTTATACAGAAACCCTTTTTCCTTTATTATTTGGGATTTCCTTTCCTTTATTATTTAGGCGCTTCCCTGGAAGTGCCCAAGGCCAGGCTTGCAGCACGCTGGGACAGGGAAAGGTGTCAGGGGTGGGAATGGAGGATCTTTAAGGCCCTTCCAACCTGAACCATCCTGTAATTCATGGTGACATGGAGGTGATGGGCCACAGGCTGGACTGGATCATCCCAGAGATCCTTTTCAACCCAACAATCCCAGAGATCTTTTCCCACACGACGATGCCACAGGTTTTCCCCACACAATGATCTCAGAGATCTTTTCCTGGAGGTTTTTCCCACCCCACAATTCTAGAGATCTTTTCCAGCCATATGATCCCAGAGGTCATTTCCCAGAGATCTCTTCCAATCCGACAATCCCAGAGATCTTTTCCCACATGATGATCCCAGAGATCTTTTCCCAGAGATCATTTCCCAGAGATCTTTCCCCAGAGAATTTTTCCCACACAATGATCCCAGAGATCTTTTCCCAGAGGTTTTTCCCACTCCACGATCCCAGAGCTTTCCCCGGCGCGGTCCCGCAGCACCGCCGGCACCGATCTTCCTCATCCCTCCCGCTTTCCGCTCCCCTCACCCCGCTCACCCCACACCCCCATCCCACAGATATTTGGGATTTTCATCATCATCCCCACACCTCAAATCCTCCCCAAATCCCCCAAAATCGCTGTCGCAAAGCCGGCCGCGCTTGGCGGCGCTTGCCGACAGCCGGCGGCGCTGTGCGGCGGGCGGGGAGCGGCGCAGGGCGGGCAGCGGGGCCGCACCGGGCCGTACCGGGCCGAACCGGGGCCGGGGCTCGGCACCATGAAGCTGACCACCCAGGCTTACTGCAAGATGGTGCTCCACGGCGCCAAGTACCCGCACTGCGCCGTCAATGGGCTGCTGGTGGCCGAGCGACCGCCGGCGCCGCGGCCGGCGCAGCCCGCGCTGTTCGTGGATTGCATCCCGCTCTTCCACGGCACGCTGGCGCTCGCTCCCATGCTGGAGGTGGCCCTGACCCTGGTGAGGTGATCCCGCAGGGGTGAGGGATGTGGAAAGGGGTGCCGGAAGGGGTTTGCGGGGTGCTGCTTAGGGCACGGTGGGGAAATGGTCCAAAAATTGGGGGAATTGTGCTGGGAGAGATGGAGGTGCTCATATGGAGAGGAGAAGGATTTAGGGAGAGCTCAGAGACCCTAAAGGGGCTCCAGGAGAGCTGGAGAGCGACTGGGGACAAGGGATGGGGGGACAGGACGCAGGGAATGGCTCCCACTGCCACAGAGTGGGTTTGGATGGGATTTTGGGAAGGAATTCTTCCCCATGAGGGTGAGGAGGCCCTGGCACAGGTGCCCAGAGCAGCTGGGGCTGCCCCTGGATCCCTGGCAGTGCCCAAGGCCAGGCTGAACAGGGCTGGGAGCGCCCTGGGATAGTGGATGATGGAATAGGATGAGCTAAAGGTTCCCTCCAACCCAAACCATCCCATGATTGTGAGCAAAAGAAGATCCATCCCTTCTTAATACCATTAAAAAGAACGAATTTATGGTTCCTCCCATATTTGTGAGCAAAAGGATATCCATCCCTTCTTAATACCATTAAAAAGAACGAATTTATGGTTCCTCCCATATTTGTGAGCAAAAGAATATCCATCCCTTCTTTATGCCATTAAAAAGAACAAATTTCTGGCTCCTCCAGTCTAATCTTTAAAGTTTCCCTCAGTATTTTTCATCCCAGTAAAGATTTCATTTGGAAACAGATCCCAGTAACTCGGAAAGAAATTCCAGTTTTCTCCAGCTGAGATGATGCCATGGCAGTGTTGACATCTTTGTGGAAGCTAAAATGATGAAATGCAGCCAGAGGCACAGGACAGGGGCTGAGCCTGAGCCCTGACCAGTTAGCTTTATCATTAAACACCCAGAATCTATAATTTTAAATATATTTACAGCAGTGTGGGAGTAGCAGAGCACTGTGTGTTTTCATTAAATCAGGATTAAATGTCTTTCCACAGGGTTTGTGGCACTGAATTTTGGTAAACTTCAGGCCTTCAGTGCAGCTTTTTAGTGTAGATCTTGCAGCAGGATCAGATTATTAGGAAATAAATCCTGTTTCTTGCAACATCTGCAGGAAGAAAATTATCCCAGAGCCAAAGCAATGGCAGGTTTTCACTTATTTACTCTCAGTTTTTGGTACAAAAAGTTAAAGATTGGAAACTCCTGGTGTTCCCCACAATAATTAGGGCTCTGTGTGGTTCACAGCCACTGCTGTGATCCTTTAAAAAACAGAATTTTACATGAGCCCAGAGCCTTTTGCTGCTGTTCTGGGTTTAAACAAAGGCAAAGGTGTCAGTAAATCCTGTCAGGGCAGCTGTGAAAATTGGATTTTCTCATGGAAAAGGTTGGAAGGAGGTGATTCCACATCTTCTGTACGAGCTGGCGTGCGGATCCAGAATAAATCAGGGAGATCAGGGTGCTTAAACTCCATTTTTGTGGCAAAGCAGCTTCACTCCTAAAGGATTTCAGAGCTGTGGCAGGATTTGGTGGGATCTGCTTCTTTCCAGGCTCAATTATTGCTGATTCTTGGTCAGGATGGCCCTGTGGGAGGGGTTTTAGAACCAACCCCACAAGTTCCACCTCCTCTTCCCTGCCCTGAGTCATCCCAGAATGGGATGGGATGCAAAAATATAGAAAATAGAGGAGAGACTTTCAAACTTTAAGGCTTTGCCTATTCAAACTTTAGGGGGAATGAATAAACCCCAAACAGCACCTCCAGAGGGTGGTTGGGCACTGAATTCCCCAGGGAATGTTCACATTCCCGAGGTCCCAGAGCTCCAGGAGCGTTTGGACAGCGCTGCCAGGTGCAGGGAGGGATTTTGGGGTGTTGGATTGATGATCCTTGAGATCCTCCCTGCTCAGGACATTCCAGGATCCTCTGATTTCCCCAGACTGGGAGCTCCAGTCCAAACACAGCAGTTCCTGTGTTTCATTTGCGCTCTGAGATCCTTTCCCAAGCCAGAGTCATGAAGAAAAAGTGAATTAAGTTGCACTTGAGCCTCTGAATTTCTCTGCTAATTGATGTGGTTTTACAAGAACAGCTCCAAAAAGGAGAAACCGAGCAGCACTTCCCTCTCCTGGACCGGCACTCAGCTCCTCCTCCTCCTCATTTTCCTCCTCCTCCTCCTCCTCCCAGGGTTTTCCAGCCCTGCTGGCTGCAGCAAACCAAAGCTACTTTGGAATTTTCCTTGGCAGGACTGGATGTGACTAAAAATATTTCTAATATTAAAAATATTTCTACCATTAGAAATATTTTTGCCATTAAAAATATTTCTTCACATTAAAAATATTTCTGCCATTAAAAATATTTCTAACATTAAAAATATTTCTTAACATTAAAAATATTTCCAACATTTTAAATATTCCTAATCCTAAATATATTTCTAACATTGAAACTATTTCTACCATTAAAAATATTTTTTACACTAAAATATTTTTAATTTTTCTAACAGGAGCTAATTGCTGTGGGATCAGTGGTGGGCTTGGAAATTACAGCTTGAAACAGCTTTCATTCCGAAATGAGATCGATTTTTTTTTTTTTCTCCCCCTCTTTGTTTTATGCAGAAGCAATTTTTAATTACCAGTTAGGAAAGTGAGAACTTAAAATCATTCTCTTCTTTCTTTTCAAGACAATTTTTGGTAGGGAGCAAAAATGGATTTAGGACTGCGGTTTTTAATTTTTAAATGGATGGAGTTGGGGTTTTTTTTTTAATAATTATTATTATTAATTTTACTGCCTGGGCTGCTGGCTCTAATGCCAAGCTTTCAAACCACTAACAATTAAAACCAGAGTCCTAAGCCCTCAAAATGGGTTTGGAATTGAAACAGCAGCTCTTGCAGGGCTGCACAGCTTTTTTTTTTTTTCTATCACTTAAATCCGTGTCATCCCTTGGATTATTCACATGGCTGCTTTGTTTGGTTGGTTCTGCAGTCTAATACAATAATTATTGCTGAAAATGAGATTGATTTGACTCCCAGGATGCCACAGGTCAGCACCAGATGTATTTTTGGAGGCCTTTTTAATAGAGCTGGGCAGGGTTTTTTGAGGCCGTGCTCTCTAGGGACTGCAAAGGAAAATTCGAGCTGCTTCCTCCCCTTCTGTCTTTGTATTTTGCTGACTTGATACCCTCAATTCTAATAAAAAGCATCATATATATATAGATACCATGTATTTATATATAGATAGATATTTTCAAAGTCAGACTCAGCAGGAGGAATCCAGCTCCAGTTTAAAGCAGTAAGAACAGCAGTGTTTCAATTCATTTAATTGAAAAGCAACAACCAACAAAACTACCTGAGTGTAAATCAAAAATTGTCTAAATTATATGCCAGAAGTACATTTGGTTAAGCATTTACATAGAAAGGTTAAATAAGGAAGAACTCTCAATGCAAAACAATTTTATCTCAGTTGAAAAGCTGCTAAATGGGACAAACTTCTGCCTCACATTCACCTTTCACCTCCATTAGAAAATCAGCTTTGATTTTCTAATGAAGGCCCCAAATGGTGGCATTTTCCCCTAGAAATGGGACATTAGAAATAAAACCTTTCTGCAGGGACAGGGCAGCATTCCCTGAAGTGCCTTGGCAGGTGAACACTGCCAGAAAATTGTCCCAGCCCTTGGTGGGTGAGCCCAGAACCCTCTCCAGGCTGAGTTTAATTGTCCTGTCACTGGGATTTAGGCCAGGCTTTGACTGAGACAGCTCCTTGCTCTTTTGCTCCATTTGGTTAATGCTTCCCATCATCCTCCAAATGCTCTGTTGGGTTTCTCCACCCCAGCTCCATCAGCCCAACTGTGAGCACTCCCACAAGCAGACAGAAATATGGATTTATTTCAAGAACCCCGTGGCAGAGATGGAGCAACGCTGCTTTATTTACAGGACAGCCATGAGATTTCCTTCATCCTGGGTTGCTTTATTTTTATTTTTTTCTTGATCCTGTAGGTTTTTTTTTTTTCCCTAGGATTCATTGTTGCCATTGCTTTTCCAGATTGATTCCTGGTGCAAGGAGAACAGCTACGTGATAGCTGGATATTACCAGGCGAACGAACGCGTGAAAGATGCCAGGTGTGTTGGGCCAATATTTCCTTCTGTTTGCTCTTTTAGCTCGTACCTTGGACTCTGCCAGCAGCAATCATCCCCATAAATCAGGCGTGTGTGATTCACTCTGACAACTGTCAGCTGCTTCCACATTGTCTCCGTGGGGCTGCGGGATGTGGCCTTTGGTCAGGTGCAGAAAGTCCTGGCTTTGCACAATCCCTGCTCTCCTCCCGTGGCTGCTATAAAAGGCCACTCTTTGAACCAGTGCCAGCTTCTTGAATTGCAGTTGTCAGGGAAAAAGCCAAAATCTGCAGAGTGTTTGCTCGTGCAGTATGGATCTTGGAAAGTCTGGCGACTCCCAGGTTCTTATGGAAAGTCAGGAGTGACCTGATTCTTTCTAAATTTCTTCATCGTCGCTGAGTTTTTTCAGAGCAGTTTTTTACGTGGTAAAGAAGTGGAAAATGATGTCAGTCAGGCAGTGATAGCTCTCATTTATCACTTCTTTTCCTCAGGATTAGTCATTTTTTTTCCCTGCTGGCTGACTCAGATTACTCACTAAACAATAAGGAACCTTCCTGTGGAGCCACAGTTTAATTTTAGATCTGTGCATTCCATGTTTTCCCCTCTATCTGTTGGACAAATCCAGGATTGGGACTAATTAGAATAAGAGCAACTTATTTAAAGTATTATGCCCCATCCCTGGAAGTGTCCAAGGCTGGAGGAGGCTTGGAGCAACCTGGGATTGTGGAAGGTGTCCCACCCATGGCAGGGGATAGAATGAGAGGATCTTCAAGGTCTCTCCCAACCCAAACCATTCCATGATGCTCTGATTCCAGTTATTTCTTAATGTCTATTCAGACTTCATTATGTTTTTTAAGCAACACTAGTATTTTCTAAGGTGTCCGTCAGGGATAAAATCTTTATTTGTCATTTCCTTATAAATCTGCTGCACACATTTTAAAGGAGAAGTTACAATTTTTTTCTCTTTGAGGTTTGAGAGAATGTCACAGGCTTGGTGGTTTTTTGAAAGTTCAGTTTGATTTCTGAAGATAACTGGCAGCACACAGAGACTGTCAATGGCACCACATGAAGTAGCACCACATAGAGATGGTCACCTTTGTCACCTTTGAAACGTGGTGAAGGTTGTCACAGGTTATCTGATTTTGGACAAGTTTTCAGTGCAGACTGGGGAGAAAACTCAGTTTCTGTTTTAAATGCCTGCCAGGGCAGAGTCTTTGGTCTGGGGGAAGAAGACAGGAGGCCACCAAATGTTGATTCCATGTCATTCCAAAGCCATTCCTGAACCCAGCTGAGCTGCCTTCTATCAGCTGTGCCATCAGCTCCTTTATCTTGTTCCTGTTTGCCATCACCCAGAGTCACTCTCACATCTCCCTGAGCTCATTTCCTGCTGCTTTCAGCTGAAACTCGTGGCTCCCATCACTCAGTTCCTTTTCCTTTCTGCTCCAGCCCAAACCAGGTTGCAGAGAAAGTGGCCTCCCGGATTGCCGAGGGTTTCACGGACACGGCGCTCATCATGGTAAAAACTTCCTTCCCCTGACTCCCTGTGTGTTCTGACCCTGCTGCTGGAGCAGGGAAATGCAGTTCTCTGGCTGCTTTCATGAGGAATTCAGTTTCTCTTCCTCTCCAGAATGCTCTGGGGAGGAGGTGCAATGAGCAGTGAAGAACAGTGTAAATCCACAGAGAGACTGTGGTGAGCTCTCTGCCACCTCAGAAGAACTTGAGGTTTTATCTACATGTTCAGGCAGCAATTTCTGGCTCCAGCCCACCTCCTGCAACTTAAATTCTTATATTTATTGTCACAAACAGGGCTTTGCCTCCTCACTGCTGTGACAAAGGACATTGGCAGCTTACATTTGGCAGCTGGAGGGTAGAACAGTGGGTGGGTGTAAGATTCCCTGTTTTTACAAACTGATTTTGGGTTTATTTCCTCTCTTGGGATGCTGAGGAGGAGACTGAGGTGTTGTTTCCATGTCCCACCCCAGGTTGACAACACCAAGTTCACCATGGAGTGTGTGGAGCCTGCCATCCACGTGTACGAGCTGCACGAGAACAAGTGGAGGTGCAAGGACCCCCACGTGTGAGTGAGCCAGGAATTCCACGGGCTGTGGGGAAAACAGGCTGTCCCTGTGAGGGCACTGCAGCCTGGCTTAATTCAGAGTTTTTCTGGGGTGATTCCTATTGATTTCCCTGGGTCTGGATTGAAGGCACTTGAGATGACAGTTCATGTTCAGACTCAGGTGTTTATTTCTTATCAGCAAAATAGTCTCACAACCATGAGTTCTGCAGCCTTTCATTAACCAGGCACAAAATGGCCAACTATCTCTTGTTACAAGGTCTTTTAAGACTAAACTATCCAATTAAGAAATGACACCTAGATTATTTTCCCTTTTAACCCAATAACTGATCCCTCAAACCCTGCAATGTGGACTTTTCTGTCCAATCACAAAACATCACCCAAACTCATGGAGAAGAAGGAAGAAGGTAAACAAGAACAACCAGCCTCCACTCTAAAACTTTCATCTTGCTTTGTATTTATTTCTATTGCTATTACTGATAGCACAGGGTAGAAAACTTAAATAACTGATCCTTCAAAGCCAATAACTGATCCCTCCAAGCCCACAATGTGCAGACTTTTCTGTCCATTTACAAAACATCACCCAAACCCATGAGGAAGGAGGAAGAAGAAGGTAAAGAAGAACAACCAGCCTCCACCCTAAAACCTCCATCTTGCTTTTTATTTATTTCTATTGCTATTACTGATAGCACAGGGTAGAAAACTTAAATAACTGATCCCTCAAAGCCAATAACTGATCACTTGAAGTCTGCAATGTGGACTTTTCTGTCCAATTACAAAATGCCACCCAAACCCGTGAAGAAGAAGGAAGAAGAAGGTAAAGAGGAACAGCCAGCCTCCACCCTAAAACCTCCATCTTGCTTTGTATTTATTGCTATTGCTATTACTGATAGCACAGGGTAGAAAACTTAAATACCTGATCCCTCAAAGCCAATAGCTGATCCCTTGAAACCCGCAATGTGGACTTTTCTGTCCAATTACGAAACATCACCCAAACCCTGAAGAAGAAGGAAGAAGGTAAAGAGGAACAACCTGCCTCCATCCTAAAACCTCCATCTTGCTTCATATTTATTTCTATATTCTAAACCCCCAAACTTTGTAAGTTTTCTACCCTGTGATATCACACACCTCTCACCAACTCCACACCCAGTTCTACCAATTAATTTTGGAAGCCTGTTCCACGGCCTCAGGTCAAATGCAGCATTCTCTTGTAAGCACAGAAAGTTGAAAATTCTCAGCATCCAAGGTTCCAACTGCTGCCTGCTTCTTTTCCATCCTAGTGACTTCTGTGAAGACTGGACCGAAGCCCAGCGCATCGCTGCCTCCCTGCTGGACAGCAAATCCTACGAGACCCTGGTGGATTTCGATAATCACCTGGACGACATCCGCAACGACTGGACAAACCCCGAGATCAACAAAGCTGTGCTGCACCTGTGCTAGGAGGGATCCTCCTGACTAATCCATGGGCATTCCCACTCTGTACTGAAGAGAGAAAAACGCTATTTTTGAATGTAAATAGAATTCATATTCAGTACCTTGTGTGGAAAGCTGACTGATTAAAGGGGAGAGGCGTGTCCGTGGCGCGGTGCTGTGTCCGTAAAGCCACGGGATGTTGGTGGTGACATTCCCTGGAAGAGCTGCCAGCTGTCACTCCCAGCTGTCCTCGTGGACACCATCCCACTTGTAGTGAATGTTGCTGTTCCTTGGAAACCAGAACTGCTTCTGCTTGGCCCCCACTGTTCCTATTCCAAAGTTTTGACTTCAGCTTTTCTAATCTTTAGAGAGGTTACTTTTTAACGATTTCTGGAAATACCTTTCCAAAAAAAAAAATAATCAACCCTGTCCTCAGGTGAGAGATGTTAATGGCAAATAGATCAAATGGGAGGTGGTTTCTTCTGGCCTGGGTTGGAATTGTAACTCTCTTGGCACAGTAAAATGCAAACTGCTGAGGATGTTCCATGCTCATGTGTCACCTGTTTTGCAGTGCTTTAGCATGACAGAGAGTTTTAAAGCAGTATTCCCAAATAATCTGGTGATTCCTGCTCTCCATGGGCTTGGCAAGCACAGTTACTGCTTGAATGTGTTAAACCCAAAGTAAATGATTTATAAAAAGGACTGGAAGCGCACTGCTGAGTTTGAATCTGCAGTTGGAGTCTACAGTGGTGAAATACTTTATTAATTTCTCGTATTTGTGGGGGGAGTTAATCACAGATCTCGTTTTCCACATGATCCAAGTACATGGAATCAGGGAGCCTGGGTACAGCCTTGTTCAGCTTGCCTTGTCATTCCCATTAATATTTATTTCCGAGGAGAAGTTTTCTGGACAATGCAGCTTTATACCAGCCTAGAAAAGCTCTTTGTTGCCTCTCTCCTAACTGTAGTTTAACACAGCCTCAACCTGCAGCAATTCCTCCAGATTTCCTTTTCTTCCTGCCCAGAAACGTTGTTACAAGAAGATTCAAATATCCACAAAATCTCTGCCTGTCTCCAGTCTTAGTGTTGAAATCATAGCAAAATTTGGGCTGGAAGGGACTCAAAGATCATCTCATTCCATGGGCAGGGACACCTTCCCCATGAGCAGGTGCTCCAAGCCCCATCCAACCTGGGCTTATTTCAAAGTTTTGATTTTGAGTCAATAAGCTCAAGTTTTGCTCCTGGTTTTTGAGAGGGATGGGGTAAGGCTAAAATCCCATTTGCAGCAGGGAATAGACCCTGGATGCCCCCAGGCTGTGGAGTTCACTCCAGGTGGGATTCCACAGGGCTTAGAGGAAGCTTTGGGCACTTGGGTTTTTATCTCCCTGCTGTGCATGGGTGAGGTGTGATTACCAAAGAGCTTGGCACCGAGTCAAGAACCTTCCCTAGGCTGAGTCAGGCTTGCAGGAGAGGGAAATGTTTTCACTTGTTGACTGAAAACATGTATTTAGCTCCCCAAACCAGTGAGATAACACATTCCAGTGGCTGCTCCACTCCATATCTGTAGGAAAAGATTTCCCTGGAGCAGAATGCAGAGCACCCAGGCTGCAGGAAGAGGACTTTGTACAAACAGCCAGCGAAATCCAAGGTATTGTTGCAGAGGCAGATCCTTATCTTGGGCAGATTCCTCGTGTGGGGTTGTCAGAAGGAGCTGCTGGGTCTCCTGAGCCACAGGAAATGTTTTTCTTTTTCTTTGTAACAGCATCTCCTAATCAAGCTTTGATCATAAATATGTAAATTCAGGCTAATCCTGCTCCCCTGTTAGGCAGTTTGTCTCCTCAGTGTGTAACCTGCTGGAATATTCCCTGTGACTAACCTGGGACACACTGCTGGAAGGGGAGCAGCTTTTAGTGCTTTGTCTTCCCCTTTTTTAAATCTCTTTGCTTTCAAAGAGGATTTTTTGCCACCAGCAGAAGCCCAGGCTGGCTTTAAGCAAAGAGGACAAACCTGCAGATCTGATCTCCCCTGGCCTATTTGCATTGAAGGCTGGACAAAAGCAGCAATTCCATAAATCCAGGCAGCCACGGTGGCTCTCCTGGAAGAATGAGGAAGCTGCAGGGCTCAGGGCAGGCTGTGTTCCCTCTCCTGCTGATGTGCCCCGGGCAAATGCTGCTTTCCTGGCTGGGGGATCCTCTGCATTCAGGGCAGGAATTCAAGGTAATTCCTTTTAAAACTTAAGGGGGAGGAAATCTTGGGGAAGGCATCTCTTGCTGAGAGTTGGGAAGGCAGCACTGGGAATGTGTGTCCTACTCTTTTTTGGTTTGTTGGCAATTACTGACTTTCAGGATTAACTTTTTTTCTCCCTATCCACCAAAATTTGGAGATTGGGCATTTGCCTGCCCAGATGTTTTAACTCCCAACTTTTTACCTCATCCACACGACCTGAAGTCCTTGGAAAAAAGAGTCCCTGAATAGTTTGGGTGGGAAAAGATCTTAAAATCATCTCATTCCATCCTCTGCCATGGGCAGGGAAGCCTTCCACTGTCCCAGGTTGCTCCAAGCCCTGGAGTGGAAAACTGGCCTTGGGCACTGCCAGGGATCCAGGGGCAGCCACAGCTGCTCTGGGTACCTGTGCCAGGGTCTCCCCACCCTCACGGGGAAGAATTCCTTCCCAAAATCCCATCTAAATCCACTCCTGGCATTCCCTGTGTCCTGTCCCTCCATCCCTTGTCCCTCTCCAGCTCTCCTGGATCCCCTTTAGGCCCTGGAAGGGCTCTGAGCTCTCCCTGGATCCTTCTCTTCCCCATGTGAGCACCCCCAGCTCTCCCAGCCTGTGGGATTCTCTTTTCCCCACTCAACCCAATTTTCCAGAGCAGTGACAAACATCCCCACAGGCAGATGGGTGACAGGAGCCACAGAATCCCTGAGCAGCTGCTCTGGGGCACTCACAAGTGAGGTCCCTGCTCCCAGGGAATGCTCCCTGCTCCCGTTTTCCCTGAGCTCATCACTCTGTGTGTCCATACAAGGATTTGGGGAAATTTTTCCCCATCCAGCAAGCAAAGCAGCCTGCTGCTGGCATTTCCCCTCTCCCCATCTGCTCCTGGGATGTTCCCTCCCCGAGGAAAGCCAGCAGAGATGTAACAGCTCCAGCTCTTGGAGCCGGTAGAGGAGCAGGTGAGCGGTTCAGAGATCACCTGGCACAGCTGGATCCAGCAGCAGACAGATGTGCAGAGCCCACCCCAGCCCTGAGGAGCAGCCCCCTGCCCCCAGGAATTCCTGCAGCGAGTGGCAGGCGAGGCGAGGTGACGGTGACAGATGCAGGAGCAGTGCCCGGGCTCTGCTCGCTGGCTCCCGGCCTAATCGCTGCACTCCGGGCTGGAGATGCCGGAGCAGGAGGAGGAGGAGGAGGAGGGCACTGCCAGGGAGAGCCGCGCTGATGCTAATGGAGGAGGCTGTTAGCGGGGTGGGCTTGCGGCTGAGTGCAGCCTGGAAAATGGCCTCGAGGGGAAAAGTGCTCGGTCTGCGAGCTCTGCTGCTCGTTCGGGTGGAATTCAGCTCCTGGAGCCGGGCTGGGGTCCCTGTGGGGCTGCTCCCCTCCCATCCCGCCCAGGCTCTGCTATTCCCAGCTGGACTTGAGCACCTCCACACATCCCAGTCGTGCAGCACAACCCCCTGAGCCCTGAGCCAGCCCTCCCGCAGCCGGCAGCGCTCTCTGTGCGCCCAAGGAGCCGCTGAGGGCTTTATCGATTTCCCTCTTTTATTTTTTTCACTGTCGCTTTTAGACCACATTTTCACCCAGCCTTCTCCTTCGAAAGTGCACCCCAGCTGCATCCTTTCCTCAGCTGCATCCCTTCCTCGGCTGCATCCCTTCCTCAGCTGCATCCCTTCCTCTTGGTTTCCAGAGCACAGGACGGACACGGGGACACAGCTGGCAGGGGGGACAGCGCTCCTGCCTGTGGCACTTCCATCCTGACGCAGCTGGGATGAGGGAATCAGGGAATTCTGCCCTTAGGAACACCCGGTAGGTGCCCTGGGGATGAGGGCTCACTCCAGAGTGTTCCAGGCAGGGCTGCTGGGCTGCAGCTCCAGCGGGATGCGGGCAGGACCCGTGCCAGGCACAGCTCTGCGCACGGCCAGGCCAGGCAGAACGCCGCCGCCCTTCCTAGAAATGCACCCTGGAGCTTAAGAGATGGACCTAATTGAAAAACTCTATCGAGGTTGTAGCAGCAGGGGATAAAAGGGAAAGCCGGGCCCAGATTAACCTGGAGCTCAGCGAGCCGGGAAGCGCGGCAGCCGTGGCCAGGTCCCTAAGCCAATTCCCAGCGTGGCCTGTTCCCGGCTGGATCCATGCTGGGAGAGGTGCTTTGTCCTGGATGCAGGAGCTCTGTGCCTCAGGTATGTCCTCGCTCCCCCTTCCCTCCTGACCCCCTCTCCTGCCCCATCCCGCTGGATTTTCTCCGGGGTTGTTTCCAGCCCACGCGGTTCCTGCCGCTGCCTCGCTCTGCTGGTCCTGCCAAGAGCCCGTGCTTGGGGAGTGCTGGAGCTGCTCCAGCTCCCCCAGAGCCTGCATCTTCAGCTGCCTCCTCGTGACATCCTCCTCCTCCCTCCTTCCCTCCCTCCCCATGCCTGGCATCCCCTCCGGGTGCTGCTCGCCAGCCCTGGTGACTCTGGATCTCCGGGTGGGAATTTCTTCTCCACTCCCAGCACTGGTTGCCACTTCCAGCTCTGGCAAGGACCTTTCAGCAGCCCCTTTCTGGGGCAGCCCCAGAGCCAGGCTGGGAGCAGCCCTTTCTCTCCCAGAAGGGCCGGGGGCAGGAGGGGACAGGTGGCCTCGCTGCTCCGTTAGCACGGGGGTGACGTGTCACCTGCGTTAGCACACCCTGGCTCACACTCTGTGACCCAGAAAGCTGCTTCCTGCCCCTCCCTGCTGGAAGGGGAGCCCAGCTGGTGTTTGCAGAGCAGCTCCTGAAGGCAGCCAGCAGCTCTGGGCTCTCCAGCCAAAGCTTTTCTTGTGGCCAGCGCTTGCACAAGGCGTCCCTTGTCCCTGCGGTTCCGCTGGCGCCTGGGAAGCAGCAGCAGCTCTCCTTGCCCTTCCTTCCCCCCAGAGGGGATTTGGGACGCTGCCCTCCATCCTCAACCCCCAGAGGGGATTTGGGAGGCTGCCCTCCATCCTCACCCCCCAGCAGGGCTTCAGCCCCAGGCCAGCATGGAGCAGGAGGGGAGAGGAGCAGCCCAGTACCAAAGGGACACGGGCAGGACTGGAAAGCAGCCAGTGACCAGCTCAGGGGACAGGCAGTGAGCACCTCAGGGGACAGGCAGGCTCTGGCCAGCTCTGCAAGGACAATCTTCCCTCCATACCCACACACCCCCTGAGCCCATCCTCTTCCTCCCCTGGCCAGCTGGCTCCTGGTGGGCTTTGGCCACTTGCCCTGACGTGATGCTCAGCAGGTCACAGCTCAGAGCCTCGCGACAGGAACCAGGAGCTCCTGGAAGGGAGGTGTTGAGCCCACTGGCACTCAGCTCTCCCTAACCCTGCTCACCCAGCAGTGACCAGGACCCCGCACCAGAGAGGCTCCAGGCCATTCCCAGTGATCAACCCCCACTTTATAAACCTTCACAAAGGTTTTTTGCTTTGTTCACCAGCCCCGGGGAGGGCAGGAAGGGGTGTTTGACGCTGTGTTTGTGCCTATCAGGTGTCAGCAGAGCAGCTGGAGCTGTGCTGCGCCCGCAGAGCTAACCACAGGTATTTTAGCAGCCTGGTGTTTATGTTTCCCATCCCTGCTGCAGCAAGACAATCGCTTTTTGTCACTGTTGTAGCAACAACTGCTGCTCCAGGCCAGGCTAATTCCAGCGCTCGTGGGTTTGGGGCTGTTTGCTCTCACCCAGCAGCAGCAAGCAGGTTGTTTTGGGGACAGGCAGTAAAACAGATCAAAGTGGAGGTGGGATTTGTGCTGCTCTGACTGGATTTGTGCTGCCAGGGAGCGATCCCTGACTGCCTGGGATGCTGCCTGCTCTGAGTTTGGGATGGGATCTTGAAAGATTAAGTTTACCAGGCTCTGCTTCAGGATTTGTCCCTAAGTCTTAGACTTTGCAGCTGAACAGGTGAAAATACCCACATAAACTGATTAATTGTCAGTTTTCTGGGGAGAAAAAAGGGAGCTGTGGGTTGCAAATGTCTTTGCCCAGGACTGTGCCCACAGCTGGAGCTGCAGCCTTGCCCTGTGCCACCCTCCCCTCTCCTGGAGCTCTGCAATATCTCAGTTATTTGACAAATCAGAGGAGTCAGGTCGGGAAGGAAATCAGCTCTCCCCAGGTTTCTGACTTTCATCAGACATGGCAGGACCAAACCAGCAGAAAGTGGAGCAAAACCACCCCTTTGCTGCCCTTCACCCCCATCCCAGCCGGGCTTGGTGGGGCTCTGATCCCTCAGGATCCCTCCCAAACCCTGGGATCGGCTCTTTCCTGATCCCGGGGTGAAGTTCCGAGTTCCCTTTCCCTTCCTTTCCCTTCCACCTTCCTGCCTTCCCCAGCCGGGGGTGTTTAATGTGCGGCTGGCGTGCCCTGCATTGGAACCACTGAAAAGGAGACTGAAAAGGAGCCTGAAAATGAGCCTGGAAGGCTCAGGGCCTGTTAATTGAGGAGGAGGGGGAGCATGGAAAAGCCTCTGGCTGCTGCTGCTGATGCAGGGGAAGGTGCTCGAGAGGCACAGCCTTGCCCTGGGTGGGACCCGACCTGGAGCGCTCATCCCGGGAACGGTGAGGAGCCCTTCCCGTGCCAGGCTGGCTTTGGGGCTGGGAAAGGGAAAAGAGCCTTCCTGGAAGGTGGAGAAGGTGAAGCTGCTCCCAGAGTTGGTGGCTGGTGGCATCAGGAGCTCAGGGATGCTGCTGTCCTTGGGTGTGGGCACTGTCAGGGCACTTGGTAGCCCTCAGACTGCTCGTAGGGCTGGAAAGGGGAAAAGATCCTTCCTGGAAGGTGATGAAGGTGGAGGTGCTGCCAGAGTTGATGGTTGGTGGCATCAGGACCTCAGGGATGCTGATGTCCTTGGGTGTGGGCACTGTCGGGGCACTTGGTGGCCCTCAGGATGCTCATAGGGCTGGGAATGGGAAAAGATCCTTCCTGGAAGGTGGAGCTGCTCCCAGGGGTTGATGGCTCATCAGGACCTCGGGGATGCTGCTGTCCTTGGGTGTGGGCACTGTCGGGGCACTTGGTACCCCTCAGGCTGCTCGTAGGGATGCTGGATGCCCAGGGGCTTTGCTGGCACACCAGAGCACTCCTTCCTCTCTCTCTCTCAGCTCTGAGCTGCCTTGTGCAGCGGGGTGAGAGTAAATCCGCGCTCCCCCATCACCCAAGGGCTTTGCAGGGCGCGGACGGGGGCTCGGAGCGGGGCTGGATGGGAGGAGGGGCCGGGGCTCCGCCATCCTCACTCATTCACCGGGTTCCAACCAACCCCGCCAAGCCCAAAGGCGCCCGGCTGGCACCTCCTGCCCGGGCATCCCCCGTGCCAGCCTGCGGCACCCGGGAGCTGGGATGCGACCGCGGGCGTCGCCGCTGCGGGCACCGGGTAAGTGCCACCCCCTCGGCGCCCCGGCTTTGTCCCTTTGTCCCTTTCCCTTTTCTCTGAGGGTCCCCCCTGGCCCGGCAGCTCGGTCCCCGCTCCGGTGACACCTGCCGTGAGCGTCTGGGGCTTTTTGGAGCGTGAACTCGCCGGGATGCAAACGTTCCTTTGGCCTGGTGCTGGCACACGGGAGCCGAGCTGGAGGAATCCTGCTGGAATGATGGCAGGGGGAATCCTCCACCCCAATTCTGGCCCTTATCCATGGGGAGGGGGCTGCTGTGTGCTCTGCAAGGGTTTGGCCACAGGGGGTGACCCCAGAGGATCAGATCCGAGAGGAGACCACCTGTGCACAGAGCTGGGTGTCCCCATGCCAGAGAATCAGATCCCAGAGGATGAAATCCCAGGGAATCGGATCCCAGAGGATGGAGACCCCCTGTGCACAGATCTAGGTGTCCCCATCCCAGAGGATCAGATTCCAGAGGATGGAGACCCCCTGTGCACAGAGCTGTGTGTCCCCAGCACGACCCTCCTCTGTCCCAGAGCCACCAGCAGGTGCCAAACCCCGCAGGATTTGCCTCAAAACAGATTTGTTGATCTTTGGGCAGCCTCCAGGAGAGCTGCAAAGTGAGGTCCTGGGGAGGACTTCACTCCCCAGCCCTGTGGGGCTGGGTCACAGCTCAGGCTGCACCTGGGGAACTGATAAAAATACAGAATTAAAAGCAGAGATAGCAAATTTTCAGTTCCCCTTGCGAGATGCTGCCAACCCATTTCAGAGCTTCTTGGAAAGGCAGAGGTCAGGCAGGGAGGGAGAGGCTTTCCTTGGCTCTCTGTGTGGCCCAGAGCTTGGGAGAGCCAAAATGAGCCACTGACCCTCATCCCAATGAACTTTTCCCAGCAGCTGTGGGAGGAGGGGTGAAGATTTCCCAATAAAGGGAATTTTTTTTGCAGAAAATTTTTCAGCATTTTGAAAGAATGGTGTCCCACAGCGGGAATTACCCATCCAAAAGCTCTGGGGATATCAGGGATGCCTGAGAGGAGCAGTGGATGATGTGGATTCCAGCAGTGCGTCCCAGCAGCTGCTCCTGCTCAGCCCAAGGGAGGCAGCTCTGGGATCACACGGGGGAAACAGAGAAATTGTGGGGATTTGTCTGCAAGAACCAACCCAAAACCAGCCCAGTTCCTTCTGCTCCCAACCTTCTCATCCTGAAGTATTTTCAGGGGTGGAGAAGCTTGGATGGGACCACATAGGGTAAACAGAGAAATTTTGGGGTTTTCTCTGCAAGAACCAACCTAAAACCAACCCAATTTTCATCCTGAAATATTTTCAGGGGTAGAGAAGCTGGGATGGGACTGCACAGGGGGAAACAGAAATTGTGGGGTTTTCTCTGTAAGAAACAACCTAAAACCAACCCAATTCCTTCTGCTCCCAACCTTCTCATCCTGAAGTATTTTCAGGGGTGGATAAGCTGGGATGGGACCACACGGGGAACACAGAAATTGTGAGGTTTTGTCTGCCAGAACCAACCTAAAACCAACCCAATTCCTCATCCTGAAATATTTTCAGGGGTGGGGAACCTGGGATGGGACTGCACAGGGGGAAACAGAGAAATTGTGGGGTTTTCTCTGCAAGAACCAACCTAAAACCAACCCAATTCCTCCTGCTCCCAGCCTTCTCATCCTGAAATACTCTCAGGGGTGGAGAAGCTGGGATGGGACCACTCAGCCAGCACCAGGCTCCTTCTCCACCCTCCCAAAAAGTTCTTCCTGGGCCCCGTTGGGCCGGGTTGAGTCACCCCGGTGCCGTGACATCAGCGGTGGTTTCGCGAGCGAGCAGCCGCGTTTCCTGTGGCTCCCGAAGGCACAGACACGCAGGGAGGGATGTGAGCTCCGAGCTCCTGCTCCTTCCTGCCCCCAGCATCGCCTCCCTGAGCCTCCCTCCCCTGTCTCTCCCCCAGCGCCTGCAGCGAGGGCCGGCGGCGGGGCTGGAGGGCTGGATGCCGCTGAGAGGATGAGAACATGGGGCTCAGGTTATCCTGCCTGAAAGGTGAGCCTGGGCTCAGGGTTTGGGGTGTTGCTGCTGCTCCCTGAAGGGATGGTTGTACCCACAGGAGGCCCAGGTGTGGGCGGGTTTGGGTGGAGTTTGGGAATGCGGCGGAATTTCTCAAGTACCACCTGTTGCGCGTGGATCACCCCAAAGAGGATTTTCCCAGCTTTGTTTTCCCAGCTTTGTTTTCCCAGCTTTGTTTTCCCATTCCCGTGCTTGCCCCGCACCTTTTGCTCTGGAGAACGCATGGGTTCAGTGAATCAGGTGGGTTTTGCTCAGAGGCAGGAAAGGCTGCTCAGGGACACATGGGTGGGGTGGAGGATGCTGGCCCCGAGCATCCCTCGCTGCTCCACCCTCCCCAGGGACACTCCAACCAGGAGCTTCTTCCCCAAGTTGAATTTTCTTAATGGATTCGGGCTGGGAATGGCGTCAGGGATGTCTGCACAGGGGCAGAGCTTTTAGTGCTGCTGGCCTGGGCTGGATATGGCATCTCCCACTAGCTCTGCATCCCTCTGACTCCTGCTAATCGCCCTTGGGCTCGTTAGGGATGGAGCTTAATGAGGATCCTTCTCCAGGATGCAGGGCTGCATCTTCCCTGGCCTTTCCCAAGCCCACATCCTGTGGGATTCTGCGTGTGATGGGCACGGAGTTGGATGCATCACCCAAAAATGAGCTCTGCCCCCTCTCCACATCAGGGATGTTGGCAGGGAGTGGTCAGGGGGGTTTGGGGTCTCACAACCCACCCCTGTCCAACAAGGGATAACTGAAGCAGCCAAGGAATCCCAATCCTGCCCCAAATCCAGGACAAAGCCCCAAAATATTCCCCTGTGCTTCCAAACCCCTCTGCTGAGCTTGGAGTCTGGAATAAATGAAAAGACCCTCCCCCTTTTCCAGCTCCCTTACATAAGGCAGGGCTTTATCCTTAATTAAAAAGAGATTAAAAATATCAGTGTCTGTCCCCTCCAGGCATTTCCTTGCTTGGGAAGAGCTGAAACCTCCCTGGATGCCGCCTGTGCCTGTGCCTTCTCCTGATTAAAAAAAAAGCAGATTAAAGCGATCTGCTTCCCCCTAAGGAGGGGTGGGCTGGGCAGGTGGTCCAGGGAGGGGGGGGGATCCACCTCTGAAACCCCCCAAAATCCAAGGTGGATCATGGGGAGGAGATGTGAGGATGCTGTGGCTCGTTAAGGGCTGGCACGGAGGAGGGCGGCGAGCCGGAGGATGCTGGTGCCTGATCTCCTTGTTTTATCCCCAAAATGTCCCTCCCCAGGCCTGAAGATGTGTGTGAGCAGCGGGAACGGCAGCGAGGGGACCCCGAGGGCGGGACAGAAGCACCTCCACGTGCCCTCCATCATCGTCACACCGCCCACGCCCACGGGCACCGCGCTGGCCCGGCGTGGGGAGGGTCCCTCGCCCTGCAGCCCCTGCTGAGAGAGGGGACACCGGGGACACCCAGCCCTGCAGGACCCATCGGGATGGAGCCACAGCCCCCAGGGCACGGCTGCTGCTGCCAGGGACACGCGGGGCACCCACACGGGTGGGTTTGGACACCAGGGATTGGGGTTTGTCCCTTTTCCTGGCAGCGCCGGGGAGGGGGAGCCTCCCTCGGTGAATAAAACCCCATGGGCTCTGCACTCCCAGCTTGGCTGTGTCGGCACGGGGAGGGCGGGTTGTGCACCCCAAAAACACCCCAGCACCACCAAACACCCCAACACCAACCCCCTGTGCCTCTTGGGGGCCAAAATTGGTGTCCCCACCTCTCCAGGAGTGAGTTTTGCCCCCCAAAACCACCCCGGGACCACCCCCTTATGCCTCTTGGGAGCAAAAGCGGTGGTCCCACCTCTCCAGGAGGGATTGAAGGATCCATTTCAGCCAACAGCAGCGGGAAAATGAACTCGGCGCTGTCACCTGCTCACCCAGCTTGGCTGTGTCCGCATGGGGAGCGTGGGTTGTGCACCCCAAAAACACCCCAGCACCCAAAAACACCCCAGGACCACCCCCCTGTGTCTGTTGGGGGCCAAAATTGGTGTCCCCAGCTCTTCAGGAGGGATTGAAAAATCCATTTCAGCAAAGAGCAGCGGGAAAATGAACTCAGCGGTGTCACCTGCATCCTGCCAGTGTCACCTGCATCCCGCCGGATCGGGATCGGGATCGGGATCGGAGCAGCCCCATCCCAGCCCGGAGCCGGGGGCGATGCTTCCCGGGGAGCGGCGGCACCGGAGCCGGCGGGAGAGGCGGGAGTGTGAAAGCAGATGGAAATTTAATTTTTTAATGACAGCAGCAGATGGCAAAAGACACGCGAGGGGAGCGCAGCGTGGGGGAGACGCTCCCGGAGCGCCCAGAACGTGCTGGCGGCACCGGGGGCTGCTCCGGGAACGGGGCTCGGGGACCCTCCTCGTGCCACCCATGGGGACGGTGGGCTGGGGGTGCCCAGGGCTTGGATCACACCCCAGGATGGGGGTAACGCTCATCCCAAGGGTGGTGGATGATCCATGGGTGGTCCCAGGGCTGAGCCCAAGGTGGTTTGGGAGAGGTGGATTTGTCTGGTGGGGAGGGATTCCTTGGGGACTTGCAAATGGGATGCAGCCTTCACCCCAAAATCATCCAGAAACCACTTGGCTGAGCTGGGTGTGGGTGTGGGGATGGATGGATGGATGGATGGATGAATGGATGGATGGATGGATGGATGGATGGATGGATGGATGGATGGATGGATGGATGGATGATGGATGGATGGATGGATGGATGATGGATGGATGATGGATGGATGGATGGATGGATGGATGGATGATGGATGGATGGATGGATGGATGGATGGATGGATGGATGGATGGATGGATGGATGGGGAGCAGAGGAAAGGGACAGGTGAGTGATGGCAGGTGCCTGAGCATGGGTGTCTGCACAGGGGCCACTGAACAGACAGACAGACAGACGCTGCTGCTGGTGCATGCACAGGAGGGAGGCTGCTGGGGCCTGGGCACCAGGGACAGCCCAGGGACAGCCGCACATGGTCTGTGTGACCCATTACATCCCGTGTCACCCATCTCAATCCGCGTCACCTATCACAGTCGGTGTCACTCATCGCAGCCCGGGGGTCGATGCCGCTCCCGGCCGCCAGAGGGCGACAGCAGCGGGCTCCGCCACTCCCTCGGCGCCCCGGCAACAAGTGCCGAGCGCTGATTGGCCGAGCGCCCGCGGGGAGCGCCGCGATTGGTCCCCGTGCTCCCATCCGGACCTCCCCCCGCGAGGCCCCGGCCAGAGCACGCCGCGCACAGGACAGCCAATCAGAGAGGCGTGCGCCACGGCAACAGACGGGGACAGCCAATCAGCGTGCTCCGCGCCGCGCCAGGCTCCGCCTCCCCTGAAAACCGCGAAAACGCGCCGGGCATCAGGAGCGGGAAGCGGTGGGCGGGGCCTGGGGGCTGCGCAGCCAATAGGGAGCGAGGGCGGGCTCGGCCCCGGTTCGATCCCGGTTCCGCTCCGATCCCGGCTGGGCCGGCCCGGGCCCATGGAGCCGGCCGAGGTGGAGTTCCTGGCCGAGAAGGAGCTGGTGACGATCGTACCCAACTTCAGCCTCGACCGGATTCACCTCATCGGGGTCGGCAGGCCCGGGCTGGGCCGGGCTGAGGGGGCTGGAACGGGTCTGGGGCCTTGGGGACACGGCCTGGGGTGACCGGGAACGGGTCTGGGTGGGTCTGGATGGGTCTTGGGGGCAGGGTTTGGGTCTGGGAAATGGGGTTTGAGGGACTGGGATTGAGGTGCTGGAGCTGGGGGGGTGAGGGAGAGGAGCTGGGGGGATTGGGGTGGGTCTGAGGGGATTGGAGTGGGTCTGAGGGGATGAGGGTGGGTCTGAGGGGATTGGGGAGGGTCTGAGGGGATTGGGATGAGTCTGAGGGGATGAGGGTGGATCTGAGGGGGTGAGGTTGGGTCTGAGGGGATGAGGGTGGGTCTGAGGGGATTAAAATGGGTTTGAGGGGATGAGGGTGGGTCTGGGGTGTTTGAGAACAGGGGGAGGAGATGGGGGATGGATTTGGGATGGAGGGATTCGGGAATGACAGGCAGAGGGTTGGGAGCAGAGGCAGAGGAGCAGCCCCCAGGAGGTTTTGAGGGAGCTGTGCTGTCCCCCACATCTCAGGGGGGACTCTGAGCCCCAGCTGGGAGTGTCTGACTGTCCTGGGGCTGACCAGAACCTGGGGACATTCTGGGAGCTGCATGTCCAGGGAGATGGAGTTTGTAACTCCTCTGAAACACCTTGGAATAGAAAATGTACTGGAAACAGTTATTCCTTCTCGAGGGATATGAGAGCAAAAATTCTGGGAAGTGAGAGGAGGAAATGCAGGATCAAATGTTTGACTCAGGCTTTTCCAAATCCTCTGGAAACTCTCACCACATTAGCAGAGTTCTGTGCAGTCCAAGCCCTGGTTGTTGCCTGCCTCTCATCCTTAATTTGTTTTCCAGGGAGATCTGGGTCCCTTCAACCCTGGCTTGCCAGTGGAAGTGCCTGTGTGGTTGGCCATTAATCTGAAGCAGAGGCAGAAGTGTCGGCTCATTCCCCCAGAGTGGATGGATGTTGGTGAGGATGGAGGCTCTGGCTCCAGCTCTGGCCTTCAGTGGGTGCAGTGCAAACATGAAATTAAAAATAATCTGGTTTTCACCATTAGTGGGGAGCTTAATTAAAAAATACAAAGCAGCTCAGACAGAAGGATCTCATGTCCCACCACTAGAATTCTTTATTTACTCTGAGGGTGGTGAGACTTGCTCAGAAGAATCTTGAGGGATTTTTTGGGTCACAGAATCCCAGAATTTTTTAGGTTGGAAAAGACCTCCAACCTCATCAACTTATGCCCATCCAGCCCAGAGTGCCACCTCCAGGGATGGGGACTCCAAACCTCCCTGGGCAGCCCCTTCCAGTGTTTAACCACCCTTCCAGTCCAGGAATTCCTTCTGATGTCTGACCTGAGCATCCCCTGGCAAAACCCGAGGCTGTTTCCTCTCATCATGTCACCAATTCCTGGGAAAATCTCTGTGAGGAGGGAGACCTTGGAGGCATCCATGTCCTGATCCTACAGAAACAACGTGGATTTTCCTGGGGAGGAGGGAAAACACCCCTGGAGCATTGAAAGCCTGGCAAGGGCTGAGCATCCCTGGTTGTGTTTTAGGGAAACTGGAGGAAATCCGGGATCAGGAGCGGAAGGAGGACACCTTCACCCCAATGCCCAGTCCCTACTACATGGAGCTCACCAAGCTGCTGCTGAACTAGTGAGTAGGAGCTGGGCTGGGCCATTTTCCACCCCACTTGGTGTGAGCACGGAGCATTTTTCAAGCTTTGCTTGGCAGCAGCCCCGCAGGGCAGTGGGGAGAGGGAGAGTTGAGGGAGCTTTCATCCCTCAGCCTGCCAAGATTTCGCAGCAGCACTTCCCTGCTGGTGACTCTGCCTCTCAGGAACTCAGGGATGGCTCCTCCACGGCCTCATCATTGGGGCTGTGCTGCTTTGTTGAGCAGCAGCTCGGCGTGGAGGCCCGGAGGAGCCGCCACACGTTCCCTGCTGCAATCTGTTCAGCAGCCTCCAGGCTCCTTGCTTGGCTCTCCTTCAGGAGGAAAGCTCCTCTTGCCTCAGCCTGGGAAGCAGGAGGCCGGGGATATTCCGAGCCTGAGCTCCTGCCTGCTGAGGCATTTCACTTGTGAAATCTGCTGGCTGGGATTTGTCCCGGCGAGGGCTCTGCTGACTTTTTAAGCCCTCCATTAAGCAGGGTGGGCATTCCAGCTCTGGCTTTTCCCCCTGGAGAGGAGGCTCCTGGCGTGCTGCTCCTTCCCAGCACGCTGCAGCAGCCCTGACAGCTCTGTCCCTGTGCATCCATCCTGTCTCCCAGCTCCTTATGGCAGCACTGCGCGGCCTTCATGGGGTGATGTGGCACATCCCATCCAGCCTTTCCAGCTTAATTCTCCCTGATGGAGCCCCAGGAGCCCCGAGGTGGGGATTTCATCCTGCCTGAGCCCTTGGGTTCATCAGGTTTGGGGCCCTCTGTGCGCCTCAAACCAGCTGGGCAATTAAAGAGCAGAAGGATTCCAGTGACAGCCAGCTGCTGCATTGGAGCTGGGCATTCCTGGGGAAAGAACCCATCCCAGAAGTGCCAGCAGGACAAGGAGCAGAGAGGATTTTAGTGTGGAGCTGCAGGCAAGGAGCAGAGAGGATTTTAGTGTGGAGTCTCAGGTTTTTAGCAAACTCTCCTGCGAGCTCAGGGTGGGGTGAGGTGGTGACAACGCCGCTCAGTGACACAACCACTGGGTGACATAACCCCTCATGGGCACAACCACACCCCCCTCAGAGCCTGCCCTGACCCTGCCCTCCCTTTCCCTGCCCCAGTGCCTCTGACAACATCCCCAGGGCGGACGAGATCCGGACGCTGGTGAAGGACACGTGGGACACGCGCATGGCCAAGCTGCGCCTGTCCGCCGACAGCTTCGTGCGGCAGCAGGAGGCTCATGCCAAGGTGGGCCAGGACCCTCCCAGCAGGGATCCAGGGGGGTCAGGGAACAGGGGAATGCTTGGCCTGGGTTGTGGGTGTGTCACTCAGGAGCTGGAGGTGGATATTGAACCTTTTGAGGATGGTTTGGGTTGGTTCTTAAAGATCTCGTTCCACTCCTTACCAGACTTTGCACTGGACCAGGCAGCTGCAAGCCCCATCCAGCTTGTCCTTGAGCACTTCCAGGCATGGGGAGTGCTCCTGAAATGGTGCTTGGGTGCTTCCCTTGCCCAGGGCTGGCAGCTGGGTCAGTCCCTTGGGGTGTCACCAAAGGGAGCTGTGAGCTGTGAGCTGCTTCCCCAGTACCTTGTATTCTCAGATCCTGTTGTTTCCCCTTCCAGCTGGATAACTTAACCCTGATGGAGATCAACACCACCGGGACTTTCCTCACCCAGGCCTTGGACCACATGTACAAGCTCCGGACCAACCTCCAGCCTGGCGAGGGCTCCCACTCCCAGGACTTCTGACGGGGAGCTGGGAAGGAGCTGAGGAGCTGCTGCACCTGGGCAGCCCCCACTCCCTGCAGGGACTGCCAGCCCTCAGATCCCCCTCAGGGCTGGGGGGAATTGCTCCAGAGCTGCTGCAGCATCCCCAGAGCCTCAGTGCAGGGGCTTTTTGCCCTCCTTATCGCAGGGGTTTTTATTCTCCTTCCTGGGGTTGTCCCCGTCCTCCCTTGGGGCACTTTTACTCCCTCCCCACCTTTTTGTCATCCCCCAAAACACAACTTTGTTCAGTGCCCGGCCCTGTCCATGTCCCTTTCCCTATTTACAGCTCTGGGGTGTGGCACTGGGGGTGACACAGGGCACAGGGTGAGCTTGGGGACATCAGCTCTGTGTCACTCTGTCCTGTCCGTGTGTCTTCCCCCTTGGAGTCACTGTGGCACAACTCGTGTGACCCCAGCTCTGTCACCACATCCTGCCCATTAAACACTCCCTGTGTCCCCTGGCATGGTGGCACCGTGTCCCCTGTCTGTGGCACAGTCCTTCTTGACCCCACTGCAGTGTCCCCACAGGGCACAGAGATGCCCCAGCTGTCCTTGTGTCCCCACATCCTGGTGCCACTGTCCCTGTGTGCCTCAGGGCACGAAGAGAGGGTGATGGCACTGTCCCCATGTCCCCTCGGGGCATGAAGAGAGGACAGTGGCACTGTCCCCATGTCCCCTCTGGGCACAGAGAGAAGGTGGTGCCACTGTCTCTGTGTCCCCTTAGGGTAGTGCCACTGTCCCCATGTCCCCTTGGGGCATGAAGATCAGGGCAGTACCACTGTTCTGTGTCCCCTCAGGACAAGAAAAGTGATGCCACTGTCCTCATGTCCCCTCGGGGCACAAAGAGCAGGCAGTGCCATTGTCCCTGTGTCCCCTCAGGGCAAGAAGAGCGGTGCCACTGTCCCCTTGTCCCCTCGAGTTAGTGCCTCTGTCCCCATATTTCCCTCAGGGCACAAAGAGCAGGCAGTGCCATTGTCCCTGTGTCCCCTCAGGGTGGTGCCACTGTCCCCATGTCCCCTCAGGGCATGAGAGCAGGCAGTGCCACTGTCCCCATGTCCCCTGGGGCGGTGCCACTGTCCCCGTGTCCCCTCGGGGCCCCGGGCAGGGTGGCAGCTGTGCAGCCTCTCCAATCTGCGCGGATCTCTCGGGTTGTACTTCAGCGAGGGAACTTCTGAGGGCAGCACAGGCCACACACTGCCTTGAAAGGCATAAATTTCGGGGCGGTGCTTCCATGGATTTCCTCAGAGCCTTGGGGAAAAAATAAAATAAAAAAAAAAAAAAAAAAAGAAAAAAGAGAAAGAAGGGAAGATGTGGCGGCAATGAGGTGTCTGCTGGGGAGATCAGCTGGGAAGCAGATCCATCTGCTCTTTGGAGAAGGACAAAAGAAAATGGTTTTCCCTCTCAGATGCCAGGCTGTGGGGAAATACCAGAATATCAACCAGCTTTATTTTTGTAATATTTGGGGTTTTAATCTGAAGCTGTCTGTAAAAAAAAAAAAAGATAATAATAAAATAATTGCAGCTGAAGAACAGCATCAGATGAATCCTGGGCTGTGTCACAAACAATGCTTGGAAAATCCTGCAGCTCCCCTTTGGCTCCGGGCCCGTTTCCCTGCGGCAGAGGGACAGGCAAAGGCAGGATCCAGGACAGGATCCTGGAGGGAGTCAGGGCAGGATCCTGGGCAGGATCCAGGTGGGATTCAGGGCAGGATTCAGGCAAGATCCAGGGCAGGATCCAGGTGGGATTCAGGGCAGGATCCTGGAAGGATTCAGGGCAGAATCCAGGCAGGATTTGGGGCAGGATTCAGGCAAGATTCAGAGCAGGATTCAGACAGGATCCATGGCAGGATTCAGACAGGATCTAGGGCAGAATCTAGGCAGGATCCAGGGCAGGATTCAGGCAGGATCCTGGCAGGTCCAGGGCAGGATCCAGGCAGAATCCAGAGCAGGATTCAGGTGGGATTCGGACAGGATCTGGGGCAGGATCCAAAGCAGGATTCAGACAGGATCTAGGGAAGGATCCAGGGCAGGATTCTAGCAGGATCTGCGGCAGGATTGGGGGCAGGATCCACACAGAATCCAGGGCAGGATTCAGACAGGATCTAGGGCAGAATCCAGGCAAGATTCAAGCAGGGTCTAGGGCAGGATTCAAGCGGGATCCAGACAGGATCTGGGGGAGGATCCAGGCAGGATTTGGGGCAGGGTCTAGGGCAGGCTTCAAGCAGGATCCAAGCAGGATCTGGGGGAGGATCCAGGCAGGATTCAAGCAGGATCCAGGGCAGGATTCAAGCAGGATCCAGGCAGTATCTGGGGGAGGATTCAGGCAGGATCCAGGGCAGGATTCAAGCGGGATCCAGGCAGGATCCAGGCAGGATTCAGACAGGATGTAGAGCAGGATTCAAGCAGGATCCAGGGCAAGATTCAAGCAGGATCCAGGGCAGGATCCAAGCAGTATTCAGGGCAGGATCTAGGGCAGGATCCAGGCAGGATCTGGAACAGAATTCAAGCAGGATCCAGGCAGGATTCAGACAGGATCTAGGGCAGGATTCAAGCAGGATCCAGGCGGGCTCTGGCCGGAGCAGGGCTGTGCTGTTGGCAGCTCCCATTATCCCCGGTGGTGCCCAGGGGTGCCAGGCTGCCGGCGCTGCCCTTCCCGAGCACCTGGGCCGGGCTCCCGCTGCCATCTGTGCCATTCCTGTGCCATTCCTGTGCCATTCCTGCCCACCCAGGGGCTGGCACGGCGGGAGGATGGCAGGAGTGACGGCAGGAGCTGTGCTCGGAGCAGGGAGAAAGGATTCTTTGCCGTCGTTGTGGAAGAGTTTATTTGGGGGTTTTTTTGGGGGATGTTTTCAGGAATTACAGCAATATATTCATAAATACCTAATTACTACAGTCAACAAATAATATATTACATTACAATTAATTCCAACAAGGTACACTTTGAACATGTTTAGGGTTGGGTTTTTCTCCTTTTTTGGCGTTTTTTCTTGTTCTCTTTCACAGCATCCAGCCTGCCCCCAGCAGGCTCTGCTGTCCTCTCCTTCCTCCCAGCCATTCCAGGCTCTGGCACAGCTGCCCCAGCAATTCTGCACGGACACAAATTCTCACCACAACCCCAGGGTGGGGAGAAAATTGGTCCAAAAAACCCAGAATCCAGGCTGGTGAGGAGGGAAAATCAGCACAGGAGCTGCTACAAAGCGAGGCTGCATCCCAGCCAGGCTCCTCAGCACGGCGAGGGATAAATTGCCAATGATTTTCCATCCCTGCTTTCTTCCCCCTCCCTCTGCCACGGCACACAGGAAGGGAAAGCGGAGAATTTTGCCGTGTTAAAATTCCCTTCGAAGCCCGGAGCTGGCAGCGGCGAGGCCAGAGGCTGGCGAGGCAATTGGGGATTTAAAAAAGATTAAACTAATTTCTGTCACAAGGGCATTTTGCTTTTTAATCCTGCCCAGCTTTTTTTTTTTTTTTTTTTTTTGTGTGTTTGGTGAAGCCAATGAGAGAGCAGGGAGCAGGGGGGGCGTGGGGGGGTTAATGCTTTCCTGTGCCAGTGCAACGAGGGAATTTAAAGCAGGAAGCAGAGGTCACCTTTTCCCAGAGATGTGAAGCTGGTCTCGTGGCGAATTAAAAACAATTTCTAATAAATAATTTAAAAATAACAATCGAATAAAAAGGCTCTCCCGGGGAGAGGGGAGGAGGGGCACACGCTGGTTTTTAGCAAGTGGATAAAAATGTCACCAGGCCCGACCCTGGTGGCACCAGGACATCCCTGCCCGCCTGCGGGCACAGCCCCACATGGATTGTCCCCAAAGTGCCACCAAGAGACCCCACTGGACCCGCTCTCCCTGTGCCCAAACTGCCTTAGAGCCGCTCTGATTGTCTTGGTATTTTTGGGGGGTGACAAAGACACCCCAGAGCCACCCACCCCTGAACCCTCCACTCCCCTCCACGCAATTCCTTGGGATTTTTCCTTTGGCAGATGGAGCCTGGGCAAGGCTCAGGCACCACCCAGCACTGTGACACCCACAACGACCCAGCTGGAGCAGGAAAAGCCCCAGAAAGCAAAGAAAAAGGGTAAAAATAAAAAACAGAACCGCAGGAGGGTGGAAGGGCTCAGCTTCTCGAGGGCCTGGTGGTGGGACAGGACCTGCCCCAGCGGAAAAGGGGATTTATTTTTCCTGGGTTTCAATTCTTTTTAAAACATTTCAATATCTTTTCTGGCCCGACCAGCAGCAGTACAAACACTAAAAGTGAGTTAATCCTTTTGCCAAAAGGAAAAAAAAAAGAAAACAAACTGGAAAGAAAGCAAAAACAGGGAGGGAGAAGGGGGGGGGGGGAAAAGGAAAAAAAAAAGCAGAAACATCTTAAAAAAAAAGGCAAGCTTTTTATAACAATAATTAAAGCAATAAAAACATACAAAACTTTGTTGTTTTTTAATATATATACACAGTACAAGGCTGAAGCACCTTTTTTTTTTTTTCCTCTTTTTTTTCCGCCTGTTCAATCCCAAAGCCGGGGTGACAAAGTGACCCCACGCGTGTCCCTGCCCCTTCCCCACCAACCAGGAACAAAAAGGGACCTTCAACCAGTTTATTGACTTTATTTTTTGATAGCGAAGTGCATTTCCAGGGGGAGCCCCGGGCTGGGGGTGCCGTGCTGGGAGCGGGATCCGGCAGCACCCGGGGCCCCGCCGGGTTTAGTGTTGTCGGTGGAGTCTTTTCATTGTCTTTTCTTTTTTTTTTTTTTCCTATTTTTTTTAGAAAAAAGAAACAAAGAACCAACAAAAATGAGCGTTATAAAGTGTGGGTGGGTGGCGGGGGGCGCTTCAGAGCCCCCGGAGGAGGGGACAGGAGGGGACATGCCGGGGGCTGCTGGCCGTGGGAATGGGCTCCCGGCTCCTCCCGGCTCCCGTTTGCTTCATGCATGGCACATTCTCCATTTATTTATTTCTCTTTTTATTTTTTTTTTGTTTGTTTTGTTTTCTTCCTTTTATTATTAATGATTTTGTTGTCATGGTTTGGGCTTCTTCTTCTTCTTCTTTTTTTTTT